TGCCTACCCCTGCCCTAACCAGTATCACCAGTGGCCATGCTGTATGTTGGATTCTGAGATTGACAGAAGAAGGAATGTTTCTGAGTTCTGGTTTAATTGAATCCTTGACAATATAGGTTACATTATTTGTAAGCCTTTTTTTTCTTCCAGATTTGCAAAGTTTACATATTCCTTAAGTTAAGACCTATTTTTAAACACGGGCATTAAATTCTGTCAGGCAGGGTTTATTAGATAATGTTCTACACTACTAAGTAATAATAATAAAAAAAAATAATAAATTTTATTTATAACCCGCCCCTCTGCTCGGCAATCGGGGCGGCGTACAACAGAATTAAAAATACAACAAGTAAAACAATTTCTACCTCCCCCCTCTTACCCCCCCCCCTTAAAACTGAATTAAACTATCATAAAATTAAAACAGCCGAGGTAAAATACAGTACAGTACAGCGGAACACCTTCACAATGTCACAATATTAACATTACAAGTATATTTCTTGGAAGTTTACCTATTAAGGGAAAGACTGAAAATGAGTTTGTAAGTACAAATCTACCTCAGTTAATGAGGTTGCTGTTTTTTTAACATGTTGGTAGTAACTGGTGAAGCAGATTTATCTGGTTTTCTCTTTTTTCTCTATTTTGCTGGTCAGACATACTCAGTAAGGATTCTGCAGCTACCTTCAGTTTACATTGCCCTTTGTAGACAGGCATACATAGCTACAGTTACACTAGAGAGAGAATCCCATTTCTTTCCCAGTTCAAGCTTGATTACATCGGTTATTTCAGACACACAGGGTGGTTGCAGACTGCCAGAAATAGTATAAATTGAGTCCACTTTTAGGGTTAGGATTAGTGCTAGAGAATCATGGGAACTGTATTTTATTGTGGCACCAGAGCTCTCTGACAGAGAAGGCTCAATGTCTCAGAAAAAAACAACAATTATCATGATTCCCTAGCACTAACCCTAACTAAAAGTGGACTCAATTTGCACTATTTCTGGCAGTCTGCAACCCCCCCACACACACTGTAAACTAAAAGTCAGGCTTTCTTCTTCTTCCTGAGATCTACTACTGTGTGATGTGAGGACTGATAGGGATAACTGTGGGCCTTTACAGACTGCCAGAAATAATGCAGCTTGAGGCCATTTTAACTGTCTTGGCTCAGTACTAAGGAATCATGGGAACTGTAGTTTATTGTGGTACCAGAGCTCTCTGACAGAGAAGGCTAAATGTCCCAGAAAAAAATACAGTTCCCATGATTCCCTAGCACTGAGCCAGGACAGTTAAAGTGACCTCAATCTGCATTATTTCTGGCAGTCTGTAAAGGCCCTATATTATTTTTCCAAACTACACTGGATTTCTAGAAGGCATCCTTCTGGCATTGGCTACATTCTTGGTACAGAGACTAATGCTTGTCTATCTTACTAAATTTTCAGCCTTTTGTGAGGGAATTGACAGTTAGGATATCATTTAGGTAATCTTGTCTTGATTAACTCATGGTTTCAACTTTGGATGAAAAGTGAAATATCAAAGGAGAGGTGATCAG